CCTTTGTTTGTTTTTTTTTATATTTTTTGTTTATTTGGCTAATATATTAATCTAGATTTTCAACAAATGGAAAAAAAAAACAATTTTTTTATCGTCAAAAAAAAAAAAAGTTTAAAATTAATGTTTATTTACATTTTTTCAACCATTCCCCCCCCCTCTCAGAGATTCCGCATACAAATCTTGTTACAAGTAAGTGAAACAATTAATCCTTATTGCCTCTTTAAAACATTTTAAGATGAGTTGAAGTTATTCATAAACTGTCCTGTAATGTATGACATCAGATAGTCATGTTGTGTGTGGTGTGCTCGCAACAGGTGAGGTCAGCACACCATCAGCTTATTTTTGTTGGCAACGAAAAATAATATGTAGTTGGTACTGCAGTCCTTGGTAACAGTCAGTAACATCAAGATAAAAAAAATTAGCATCTAGAAATAATAACCTACACATTTTTGAGTTAATGCATAGGTTTTGTTTAAATAATTTTTTTTTAAAGTCCAGAATTTAAATAAATGACGTCAGCCTATTTATACCTTTGTAAGCAATAAATATATTTTATTTAATGAATCACCAATAGAAAAGAACGATAGTGCAAGTATTGCAAGAAGGAGCTAAGGAGATCTTATTTAGTTAGAGTCTTAAAAACAATGACAGTGATTTTGTATTATTTCATGTATCAATTTAATCTGATAAAATATACCTACTTTTATGCAAGGATATAATTAAATATTTCCGAAATATTCATTTCAAATGTGTAGATTATTGTTGTAATTTGTTTGTTTGGTTTTTTTGTTTTTTTTAAAATATTTTTAAAAGATATTAAACATAAAAAACCTGATTCAGTTATATGATGAAAATCGTAGGTAGAAAGTATCGAAAGATGCCTTCCGTTATTACCTCGGTAACATCGGGTCATATCTTCTAGTTTAAAATATATATAAAACATTTTAAATTTTCCTTTTCCTTTCTTTAAACTCTAGTCAGAGAATAGTATTTTGTTTTAATTAGGGGTCAAGTGCTCAAAACCAGACATGTTTAAGTGCAACAATGGAGAGTGTATACTTCGGGACCTTGTGTGTGACAATGTAAATGATTGTATGGACAACAGTGATGAAGCATCTTGTGGTAGGAAATTATTTGTACGGAGGGAGGGACGCTTTAATGGAGCGCGTTCAAATTTATTTAAAACATTGTCTTTTATTCTTGAGCACAAAACGGAAACCAACGCCCGGCCTTAGGTGAACTTTCGCCCTGTGCGCAGCGCCCGTTCGGCGCTCCCTTCGGTATTAATAAATTAATTTCCACGCCCTTTTGGTTGTTCACAACTCCAAAGTAAGTATCCAAATTAAGAATGCAACATTCATTGCATGAAAAGCGATTGGACGAAAAGTTAGAAGACCGTTTCTCGACCCCCGGACCCGAGGTTCACACTTCACTATAAATAAGCCAAGGGAATTGAAATATTCACTGGGCGCCCGAGGCACCCCTATGGCCATGGCGCCCTGTGTGAGGGCACAGACCGCATATCCTAAAGGCCGTAGTTGCAGAAACGTTTTGATTTCCAGAAAGGGGCCACAACTTCATAAAGATAGAATGATGAGATCAGTTAAGAAACTTCACAAAACCATTTCAAAGTATGCGTTTTTTTCAAGGGGACGCCACTGTTTTAACCAAAATTTATTTTTGTTTTTAAAAATAAATTAAAATTGTTTTATAACTAAATCATTAGTTTTTCATAACTCATCTTAACTTTTCTACTTTGCTTGCACTGAAATGCGCTTAACCTCCCGTGTATAGCTAGGTGCGTGCGATCAATGGGACCTACCGAAATGAACCATGTCAAACTAATGTGCCCAAAACATGATGACTTATTCTTGCTTTTCTGGCCTCTTACGAAACAACTGAAGTCGATTGAAAAAAACTTTAAAGATGAAATAGCTTGATCGCAGGATTTTAAGGAGGTAAAGGGGTTGAAGCTTTAAATGGGTTTCGTGGACGTGTGATATACACCAATATAAAATTGATTTTCAATGGTATAGCGTTTCCAATCCGTGAACACCCCAAGCTATATATTTGAGTAGGTAGACGAGCCTGAAATAAAAATGATGGACTCCCTGTACTGGCGGCCATTATGTAAAAAAATGTAATATATTACATCACACCACACACCCTCTCTCCTATGGTTAGTAATTTCCATTAAATTTGGACACATACAAAAATCACTTACATTATGAAAAAAAGTATGTTGTTTGAATTTATCATCAGATTCCAAGACCTCCCAGGAAGTACAATTCTTTTCCCGCAAACAACAAAGAATAGATGGGATTTTGTGATGTATCGCCAGACGCAAATAGACTTTCTGTGGTAAGTTATGAACTGGCTAGGTACGTCATCAGTTTCAATTTTAAGGAAATTTTGCATTTTTTAAGACCCGGAAAACATTTACAAATTAAAACCCAAAAACTTGACCTTAGTACTCTAATCTAAATAACTCACTTTGACTTTGCTTCAGTTTTGTAATGGTTGTAAGTTCTTGATAACAAAAAAAAAAAAAAAGAAAAAATGAATGCACTTATTTTCAAAGGAATGGTGGAAGGTTTAAATCTTAGTCAGTTTTCAATTTTAAGGAAATTTTGCATTTTTTAAGACCCGAAAAACATTTACAAATTAAAACCCAAAAACTTGACCTTAGTACTCTAATCTAAATAACTCACTTTGACTTTGCTTCAGTTTTGTAATGGTTGTAAGTTCTTGATAAAAAAAAAAAAAAAAAAGAAAAAATGAATGCACTTATTTTCAAAGGAATGGTGGAAGGTTTAAATCTTAGTCAGTGCATTAAATTTGTAATTTTGTATTTTTAAAAAAAAAAATTTTTTTTTTGCTCTTCGACAATAAATGAGTTTTAATGCTAAATGGATGCTCTTAATTTTTTTTTCCAGATCACCTTAACACAAGAAGATTTCACTTACCCAATGATATATATTTCCATGATTAGAGAGAGCGAAAGAGCGAGAGAGAGAGAGAGAGAGAGAGAGAGAGAGAGAGAGAGGGAGGGAGAGAGAGAGATTACCAATCGTCTTCATTGAACTATGCTGGGTCCATATTGATACATTGGTTTTTAAATATTTTTTTTTAAAATAAATTAATGTTTCTTTTTCTTTCCGTTAATGCTTGGATATTAATATTTTCTTAATCTAACTGCAACCATATAGGTCTTTGCATACATTATTAATTGATTAGAACTCAATTTTGCTCCAAAAAAATGTTGTTTTCGATTATATTTTTTAATATTTAAAAACGAAAAAGCCTTACAAATAATTCATTAAAAGAGAAATAAATATATATTTTTGTTAAAAAAAAACCTACAAAACAACACGTGTTCATTGATTTGATAATAGTTGTTTAAAAAAATGTAAAAATTAAAATCAATTGACCTATTTTTTTTTTTAGGGGCACAATTCTAACTTAATGGTTGCAACTGACCACAATGCTTTTTAAGATGAATAATTGGATTTTAAACTACAAGTTTTTTTTTTATTAAAGTTTTTTTTTATTTCAGATACTCTTAAAAAAAAAAAACTTTAATTTAGTTTTGCCAAATAGCTTTTTTAAAAAAAAATAAAAAAATTTTTACATGTATTTTTTTTTTTTAGGGGCACAATTCTAACTTAATGGTTGAAACTTAACAAAATGTTTTTTAAGATGAATAATTGGATTTTAAACTACAAGTTTTTTTTTTATTAAAGTTTTTTTTTATTTCAGATACTCTTAAAAAAAAAAAACTTTAATTTAGTTGTGCCAAATAGCTTTTTTAAAAAAAAATAAAAAGATTGTTACATGTATTCACAAAGGGTTTGGGGGTATGGAAAGTACAAGCTAAGTAAGAAAAAATTATTACACTATCGAATTTCAGTCGACCATTTGACGTTAGCAGAGAAGGAAACCATACGTGGCCCGAAACGTTCTTAGGAACTTGGAATTAAACTTTAAATAAACAAAAATGTTAACGGACATGTTGATGACATGCAACAAATCCTGCAGCTCTATACACAGCCTGTAAGTGTTGCGGTAAGAGGCGGAGAACTCTGGCACGACCAAGTTGGTCAGGTAAACGATGACGTCGGGGCTGTTGGCCAGCACGAAGATCAAGGCGACGGTCTTGACGGCTTGGGTGGCGCGTCGCTCTTTGGTCGATGACATGGGGTTAATTTTGGACGGTTTTCTGAAATCTTCGAAGGCGACATCCCCATCGGCTTTGATATCACTTGGCGTATCCCAACTCACCCTTGTTGTTTCAGAGCCACAATCACTTTTCAAAAAACGTTTTACAACGTTTTGTCTTATCACCGATGAATTTTCAGCGCCTTCCTTGGCGCGCGTGCCAATTTTGTAGTCGCGATTTGCGGCCCCGCTTTGAACAGCTCCAGAGGATCGAAACTTCAAAGATTGTTGAAGTCTCACGGTCAGTAGAAGCGTGCAGAAGAAAACAGATATTTCGGAGACTATTGGTATCGATACGTAATTAATCGCTTTAATCGCAGGTAACACTTCATCGCTGAAGAACGACGACAGGTAAAACATGAGGCGAGTAGAATTAGTGGTGGGATCGAAGCCGGGATGAAACGGCACCACGGTCATGGTGAACGGGATGAACGTGACGCTGACCACGCAGTAAATGCAGACATTGACGGCGGCGCAGCGGGCGCGGGAGAACGCGTCCTTGAACTTGAGCGGCAGGACGACACAGCAGCATTTCTGGACGGTCAGGAAGACTGTGGTCAGGGTCGACGTGTTGTAGAACAAGAGGGCGTAGAACGGGAGAATGAAGCACACCCAGTAGAAGCTCACGTACGGCCTGACGTGAAACGGAACGTCCAGTATGGCCAGCACTGTGGACGCCAGGAACAGCGCGAGGCAGAACAGGTCGGAGACGGTCAGCGAGAAGAAACAGACCGAGATGCCGTCGGCGAGTCCGGTTTTCCAAAATATGACCAGTGTCATGAGATTCGTGGCGACGCCGAAAATTCTGACGATGAATTTTACGATTTGATGAAGAAAAACGACGTTGACGATGTAGGAGACGTCGTTGTCGAAAATGTCTTTGAAGGCGATGACCGTTTCATCGACGCTCGTGTTGTTCATCATTATTTTAACATTTAAACTGCAATGTTTACACTTTGTTTTAAAGTTAACTGATGTTTTTTTAATGCACCATAAGTAAAAACTTGAATAAATTCCAATGTTGTTGAACCTTACTTTTGTTTCATATGAACATTTTGGCTCGCTGTGAAAAAATCACAAAACAAAAAAACAACCACACTGTAAGAAATAACTGTTAATATTGTGTTTGAAATAGACACATAGTATTATTTATCTGAAAAATAGTAATAAAACAGCAACAACAATAAAAAAATGTTAAACTTAAACAGGGAATAGTTTAAAGAAGATATTAGAGAAAGGTTTCCCAACCAGAGGAGGCGAGGAGGCAGATTAGGAGGTGAGAGGTTGTTTTTTTTTTCTTTTTTCGCTGGCATTCATCCGTCACAATCTGACGATCGTGATACGCAGGACGAAATCCACACGGCCTGGCATTATTCTTCTAGGATTAGTAGCTGGTTCCCCACAGCAAATCAACTTTCCCCGCCACTGGAAATCCCATCATTTAGATGATACAGCTTGGCACCAGTGACGTTGCAGGGGTTGTCGGAAAGCTTCATTGCGTCAATGTTATCCGCCTGCGGGACTCCATTTCCGGGTTTGAATTAAGAGTTTCCTTCTCTTAGATGAGTTGCCATCCAAGCTTAACGAGTACCATCTACCCACCACGAGGTGAGAGGTTAGAGAATTAAGAACAGACGAGCCGTTGGCTTTTAAGCTATGATATAAATTTTATAATGTATTCATAAACATTTCATTTAATGTTATAAGCCACACTTTTTACATTACGCGTTATATTACAAGTTCTACAGCCTCCGTTGTCATACAATTAACAAATTAGAAGAACCCTTTTCAATTTTCTATTTTAAAACAGAATATTATTTTTGCTATATATAATATTTAGTTAAAATAAAATTGGTGTTTTTTTTCCAGGGGGAGGGGTTGCTGGCTGACCACACACACACAAAAGAAAGGAAAGGCAAAAATCTACTGGACAATGACAAAAAAAACCTTTTCTTAAATAAAAATATAAAAGGTTAAAGCTCTTTTTTTAAAAAGCGCACTTTTTTCGGCTTAATAAATAAAGATTCTTTTGAAATAAAATCTTACTATATGAAAAATAGGAATGAATGTCATATAGGTTTGAACGAAATACTCGTGTCGTAATTTAAGAGACCCTCGATATTGAGTCTAAAACTCTTTATGCTTTGTTACCCTAGTGGATCACATGTGGATCACATGTCGTTGAAAAACATAAAAAATAGTCCCAAATCTGAGCTTGATTTATACAAGTACCTATATCTCAAATAATGTTGTAATGGAATACTCTTATATGACGCTGGTGAAATCGAATACTCTTGTTCCAAGTACTTATATGTTTGATCTAATTTCATTCATAATTTCTGTGACTAATTTCGTACTTGGAATAATTTAAAACATATCGTAATTTCTCAGCTCTCTTTAAATAATAACGACACTATTTGTCTACTTTATCATGTCTTGAAGGACCTTTGAAATTTGAACAATAATTAATGATTTATTTGCTATAGCATTGGTTTGTTTTCGAACGAGCTGTCGCACCATTAGTGCTTAGTTAGTACAGATGACGTTCTGCGGTGAATTAATTTGTTGACCAACACGAATTAGAGCGTCATGTCTAAATTAAAACGATGCCACACGTTTTGAAGACAATGTTTGTCGACTTCGAGTTCTACGCACGGCATGTCTGTCTAACTAGACTTAAAATATTGATGGTTGAATAGCTGTACTATGATTTTAATTTCCTCACCAAACAAAACGTAATACGTGTGAACAAGTGTGAAAAATCAATCTGCAGATTGAACTAATTATATTTTAATAACCGTGTGTGGGGTTAGGAGTCAGGTAGTAAGTAGGTCGTGAATAAATCACAACCACCGATGGAGACATTAACGAGACATTGATGCATTCTTTAAGTTCTGCTAAAGGGAGGTGCTACCTTTTGTGGCAGACAATAAAGTGTACAATTAGTTTGTTGTTGTTTTTTATTGGTGTTTTCACCAAATGAGAAAATTTAAATTTTCATTGTTCAAGTTCATTGAAAGTCTGTGACGTAATCCAGCAATTTATTCAGAGATGTGGTTAGCAATGTGTTTTGATATTTGTTAACTTGCTAGGACGCTCTCATGGCTTTATTGGTCCTAGTGCATAGTTGCTAGGACGCTCTCATGGCTTTATTGGTCTTCGTGCAAATTTGCTAGGACATTTTACTGGCTTTATTAGTCCTAGTGCATATTAACTTGTCCACATACTAACGCAGGATAGACTTTCAGTGATGACATTAATCTCTCAGCGTTGACTACACGAGCTCTCTGTTAAGTTTTTAAGATGCTTTAGGGCACAGATCAATCCTCTGCTGTAACAGATGAGGTAAAGAGGGGAAAAGTATGAGGAATACACCTTGATGAAGGCTTAAATAAGAAAACATCTCAATCATGTGTTCATAAAACTATCTCAAAAACTTGGTTTGAAAAAAAAATGCAACTCAATGTTACTTTTAATATGATGATTAAAATTATTTGGACAAAGTTTCGGGGAAAAAATGTGGTGAATTTATTTCCTTTCTATTAAAGTTTTTTTACAAACTGTCAAAATTAAGGCACAATTATGTCGCGTAACTTACATTCCAAACACCTGTCATAACACTTAACATACCATTATAACAGATCACCGCTTTTACCTACGTATGTTTTTTTTTAAGTCACTTTAATTTTTTTTAATGTTTGGCTCCTTTAATGAACAGCGCGCAACAAAGGACTGAAAACCAGTAAACAAAGACAAACAATAACACAGCTAGTCATATTAACCAATGTCATTTTAACTATACTATTGAATTTATAGAGAGAATACAAAATGATATAGACATAAATAAAAAAAAAAAACTATATTAATTTACAGCACAGCAAATGAACAAGTATGATCCTCGAAAATTATTCATATATATTTATATATATACATGTAAATGGTAAAATCTTATAAGGCTACTTTAAGTTTATAGAGTCTCATATATGTCTAGGGATATCTAACAAAAATCTCTTCCGGCTAGGAAAGCTGCTGGCTTATTTATAGGGGAAAAGTTGGAAAACTCAAGGAAAGAAAATTCAAGAAATGACATCAACCGACTGGCTTCCTTAGAACAAATAGAACGTAAACAAACTTTTCCCAATTAAGGGATCAGTGAGGTTGGCGCAGCTCTACGCATTTAATCTGTGACGTCAATATTAATAAAAAAAAGGGGGGATACACGTTGAAGAAAAATTAGGTCAACACACATGCTATAACACTGCCCAAAGTTGGAAAAGAAACATAGCGGGATTTTATTAAATGAATTGGTTGTAAGGACAGACAGAGCGCTTAGCGAAATGTTGAAACAAAAGGGAGAAACAATAGGAACCGGAGAAGCTAATAGGAACAACGAAGGAGGGGTGCGAGAGGCACGTAAGAGAAACGAAGGAGGGGTGCGAGAGGCACGTAAGAGAAACGAAGGAGGGGTGCGAGAGGCACGTAAGAGAAACGAAGGAGGGGTGCGAGAGGCACGTAAGAGAAACGAAAGAGAATCACACTACTACTATCCAAACACCACTATAAAACCACAACACGATCCAAACACGCCATATTCCAACCACACCACTATCCAACAGCACCACTATGCAACCACACCTTATGATTTAAAAAGCTTTCTTCGTTAGGTGAAACGTGGATACATACCTTTTTCACAAATCGCCCACAGTATGTCAAGGTGAATGACCAAATATCAGTAACTAAAGAAATAAGCACCGGGGCACCACAAGGCTGCGTTTTCTCCCCTGTCCTGAACACTATATCTACCAATGATATCCAGAGCCCAGGCAACACCGTTCCAATAATTAAATTTGCTGATGATACCACCATCGTTGGCTTAATATCTGAAGAGGAAGGCTTATAACGCAACTAAGTTACAAACTTTATGAGTAGGTGCGATGAAAATCGTTCTTCAGTTGAATGTCTCAAAAACGAAGAAAATGGTTTCCATTCCCGGAAGGTATTCATCCAACTGCAAAGATCCCAATAAATAATTCCAGTATAGAGCCAGTAGAGTAGGTAAGTAAGTGGGTGTCATCATTAACAGCCATCATGAACACGTCAACATTCTTCGTAAAAATATCAACAGAGACCTTTATTTCTTTTTTTTTAAAAGTGTACAATTTCGTCGTAAAAAAACAAGTTATTAACTTATTCTACAACGCAACAATTGGAAGCCAACTAAACTTCAGTATTACCTGCTGGTGAGGGAGTTCGTCGTCTGACATCCAACACCGATCAAGTAGACTAATCAAGAAAGCGAGTTAGATCACACAAACTAAACATCATTTACTTTTTAAAAAAAACTACTTGAAGAAAAAAGCTGTTGCAAAACTATTTTGTGTGTGTGTGGAAGATGTACGCCATGCTCTTCATCGTTAATACCTAAGATAAGCTTGATCAGGATGAATTCTTTCATTAAAAGTTAGGTCTAAAACATAATACTATAAAAATTCGTTCCCCCCGTCTGTACGAATTGCAAGCGCCCCCCCCCCCAAGCGGTTTCCAAAACTAAATAATCACTAAGTAAGTCAGTATTTTCACTAAGGGAGTTCATGTATGGCTGGTTTCTGCGCTAGAGAAGTAATGTCTTGTGTTTAATTTGTTATAATTGTAAAATGATGTCTTGGTTAAAATAGGCATTTATTTATGTGCTGAAAATTTATAGATGAGTCCAAATAAATGAAAGTTACAATGTAGCCACAACGATTCTGCACTCGCCTTACATATTCAGTCTTCTTTGATAACGTTAGTTCAAAGCTGTTTGTGCACTCACTTTACACATTCTGTCTTCTTTAATAACGTTAGTTCAAAGCTGTTATGAAGACGGTTTAACACAATCTCAGCTTTCCCTAGCTGGTCTGCTCGCTCATTGCCTGCAATTCCTTAGAAATTGTTGTTTTATGGTGTTTACCACCTTCATGACCACCCACAGCCGTTTCTCTGGAAGTGTTTCCTTCTTTTACTTTAACATACAGCAAGTGGCTTGATTTCCATCTTTAAAAAAAAAAAGTAAAAACTTGTCTTCATGTTATATTTTATCTCCCGAGTGAAATACAGTTCTGTTGGGACGGAGTCGGTCGTCTTCGTAACACCGAAGTAATTGTTGATATAAGCTACACTGGCATCTTTAACTAAAAAAAAGAAAATAATAAAATTAATATCTATGCGTCATTCCATCTTATCGTGGCCCCATGCAAGGAAGTTGAAAGTTGACAGAAATATTTTACGAAATCTGGAATTAAACTTCAAATAAACGAACAAATTGACGGACATGTTGACGATGTGTAACAAGTCTTGTAACTCGATGCAGAGCGTGTACGTGTGGCGATACTGTCCAAGGCCAGAAAACTCGGGCACCACGAGACTGGCGAAGAAAACGACAACATCTGGGCTGTTGGACAGAACAAAGATCGTGGCCACCAGGTTGACGGCCTGGGTCACGCGGAACTCGTTTTTGGAAGCTGTTAAGTTCTTATCTGACCTTGGCTGCTTGGGATTCTTGGGGAAACCAAATCTGTTTTCGAGTTTCTTAAGCTTAGACGGCAACGAGGTCGTATAATAACGATCCCGGTTAGACTTTGATGAGCTTAGCTGTCTATTTTCTTCCCTGGTTTGAACTGAAATTCTCTTATCGGCGCCCCGCACGGCTGCCGAACTTCGAAATTTTAAGGACTGTCGGAGTCTTATGGTCAGTAAAATTGTACAAAAAAGAACAACGATTTCTGAAATTATAGGTATCGATATGTAATTAATTGCTTTCAGCACAGGAAATATTTCCGTCAGGTACAATTTGGAGAGGTAAAAGACGAGTCGAGTAGAATTAGTTGATGTGTCAAAGTTTGATCGGAACGGTAATGTGATGGCGGTGAACGGGATAAATGTGATCATTATTCCGCAGTAGATGCATACGTTGAAGGCGATGGAGCGGCCCCTTGAGAACGTGTCCTTGAACTTGAGCGGCATCGCAACACAGCAGCACTTCTGAATGGCGAGGACCACGATGGTGACGATGGAGATGTTGTAGAACATGAGAGCGTAGAACGGAACCACGTAGCTGACCCAGTACAGGCTGACGTACGGCTTGACGTTAAAGTTGAGGTCCAGCATGCCGAGAAGTGTAGCGGCGAGAAACGTGACGAGGCAGAGCAGGTCGGAAACGGTCAGCGAGAAGAAGCACACGGAGATGCCGTCACCGAGTCCTGTCTTCCAGAATATGACCAGCGCTAAGATGTTGGTGACAATGCCAAACGTCCTGGCGGCGACCTTGACGATCTGCTGTAGGATCATAATGTTGATCAAATTCGACAAATCGCTATTTATAAAATCCGTGGCGATGGAGTCGGTGAGTTCTTTAAATATGCGTGTAGTATTTAAGCTCATTGTGACTCTAAATCAAAATTTTCTACATGAATTTTTCGTTTTGCAATAACCCCTTTATATTTATAGAGACCTTTTTCTGATTATGTTTTCTTTTATTCCTTCACCAAAAAATATTATTGGAGCAGACGTCGATTCAATATATTTATAAATATAAACATGATAATTTTACACTTCTGACTCACGAAAAAAGTTGGGGGGGGGGGGGGG